ATTTTGTCCACCAGGTCTTTGCTTCCAAACTGCTTCTAACCATTCTTTCATCAACTCTTCATCCATCCACCCATTCTTTTGTATTCTAATAACTATTCCAGGGGGATATTGGCCTCTAGGCACTCTTTTTCCTTTGAAAATAATCTTCAGAGGGAGCTTTGATCCATCCGCTAAAACTCCTAAAACACAGGTAAATCAGTTTTTATCATTCTCTGTTGTATATATAGGTACTGTTCGTGCGCCACGATCATTAATTGTATAAGCACCAACCATATCAAAGTAAACGGAAGTTTCATCCATGTTAGCAATACAGTTAAGTTCAAAATTATTATTTATTCTTAATTCATTAATAAAACCATGAAACTCAGTAACTTTTTCATGTAAGTCTTTAGGAAGTTTTTGGAAGGTTTTTGTGCATCTGCGAAGGGAAAGGTTAAACCGATTCATAAAAAGATTAAGCCATGGGTCTGATGCTTTAAAGATATTAAGAGTATTAGAGTATGATAACTTAAACTTATTAGAGAGTAAGTTAGTTATACAAAATTTAATATCCTTAGAGGTGACTGCTATTCCTCTTTGATGTCATTCAACTATCCACTCTTTCAATGAATTTTCAGCAAGTGGATATAATGACGAAGCACCGGATCCTATTCTGTGACTTGTTTTCCTTGCATTTTTGAACTCCTCTTCTTTCACTCGCCACCTGCTGATTTGAGTATAATCGACGTTAAAGAACCGTGCTGCAGCATGATTATTTGTTTTTTTTGCATATTCAATTGTATCGAGTTTTAGATTTACAGGATAGCTTTTACGTTTTCCTTTTAGCATTTTAACAAAATACAAAACTTACAAATTTTTTTGCGCGACTGATCGCGAAAAGTATATATATTTATTCGTATCTAATTCATACCAGATACAATGTAACAAACAACGCGTATGATTAAAGAATAACTTCAACGAGCTGATTAAACACCCGTACTGTGTAATATTTAAAGGTATCAAAAAAGGCGCAAATATTAACACCTTTCTCTTATACTTGTTTTTCATATATTATTAGTTACTTAATTTAATTTGTTAAATCCATAAAAGGAACAACAGGAGTGTTGTAATTAGCCGAAGGGACAATAGAACTATTTAGAATTGCTAAAGTAGCAGCAGAGACACTTGAAGTAGTTGGAAAAGAAGTTGTTGGTGTCACGGGCTAATCTATGACTTTCGTCAAAGAAAAACCTAATCCAAATGGCGAGCACTTGATCGCTTGGCTTATTTCGATTTCAATGTTAATACTAAGGCAAGTATTTTACTTTTTATTCAAATGCGCTTTATTAATTAAGAGGGATACTAAGACTAACTCAAAACACTTTCTTCTAACTATTACATTTGCTTTTTATATATACATACTTCGGGTCACACTACTTACATCATAATTCATTCATATACGATTACACGATTGTTTGACTCTTATATTACTAATGAATTACCTCATAATTCATGCATACTGGTTACCATACTTCGATTCATAATTGATTGATTGTTACTCGATCCCTTAATCCCCAATCAATCACTTATCACATGCACAAGATAATAATTGATTGTTCACTTTACCTTCGTTCTCATACAAGTTAACTGCATACTGTATATCACCATGACATTGGTAATGGTAATATTTTTTTTGTTTGTTAAATGGTTGTTTTTTTTTTTGTTTGTTGGGAACATGCTAATCATAATATGAAAAGAGTTCACTTAATCATTGATCACAATCTTTATATTCATTGATTGTAATGATTGTGCATCATCTCAATTACTATCTAATCACACTCAGGAAGATGCTTGAGAGTACCTATAATTAAAGATGAAAAGAGGTATTTGAAATCTGTTGGTGAAAATTCGAATAAACAAGGTAGTCGAGATTATAATACAAAAAAGCATATGCACAAAAAAGACGAAAAGGCATTTGAGTGGAACTAAAGGTTGGTTGCAGTTTAAATAGATTTTGATGCCAAAAGACATAGGCACAGCAAAGGACAAGTAAAGATATTTGAGTAGAATTGAAAGCTGTTAAAGATTGCAATGTAAATAGACAACTTGATTTTTTTACCAAAAGGCATATGCACAACCAAAGATGCACTTAAGAAAATAGTAATTTTAATAGATGATATGGAGTTGGATTATGTTATTATAGAGTTAGAATGCAGTTTTATGATAAAGGAAGAGTTTATATAATATGATGTAGATTAGATATAAGGGCCCGATTTTAGTTTTCGCCAAAAAAATCATTAGAATAAAATGGTGGCTTTAGAAGATCACCTGAATCAACAAAAAACTATAAAACATGAAAGTTGAAACACTTTAATAATATGATATTCAACGTCAAACATCATTTTATTTAATTTATTGCGCTAATCTGTATAGTATATGACA